ACAGGAAATGCCAGTCCAGTGTCCCTTCACCTGCTGCTGCTCATGGCATTCTTATAGATTACAAAAGTGCCTAATTTCTGACCACTGTGTCCAAAGTCATTCAGACCTACACACCATAGAATTAAGTATAATCTACTGTGCCAATGTGTTTCTAGGAAGAGCTGGATCCACACCATGAAGTGCAAAGCCACAGGCCCAAGCTGGCTGAGAAAACCTGTGGGGAGGCAGGCTGACCACTGGTCACCTGCCAGCCACTGATGGCCTCATCAACCAGGAAGCCAGATGCCTGAGGGCCCCAGCAGCATCAACTCTTAAAGCTCTATTGGGGAACTCTGAAGGGGAGGGGGCAGTCAGTGGAATAACACATGCATTGGTTCTCAGATTCCCTATCATCACAACAGGCAACCTAGGTGATAAGCTTTACCTGGAGGTGAAATTTTGCATTCACCTCTAAGTTAAGGAAAATGAGAAAAGTGAAGTGACTGGTTCATCAAAACAACTCAGTGATAGGAATAGGTTCCATGCTCCCCATTCAGAAGGGAAACTAAGACTTAGAGAAGAAAGGCAGGAACACCAGTGCAATCCTATGAGCTCAAGTTCCTGTGCCACATTCCAGAATTCTACTTTGACCTAGAAAGATACCACCAGGCTACCAAAGGAGCAGAAAAGACCAAAGAGAGTTCACATAACTAAAGAGAAGTTGTCTGTCTTTTTATCCACTAATGTTGGCAAAGGTTCAGCTTCTAGACAAGTCCTTGCCAAACTAACTCATGAGCCACATCTGCCACCTGCTGGCAGAACTCAATGTGCAAGTGTACATTTTCTCTAAAAATTATTTGGCAATATTCAGTAGAAATTCCTTCAGTTTCCATTTCACAAGTACTGTCCATTCTGTCAAAAAAACCTATTGACTTCTGCCTTTAAAGCACACTGAGCAATGAGACTAACAGGTCCCCTGTCCCATCCTCTTTGGTCCCCATCTACTTTGGTTCTCTCCAGTTGAGGATATATTTACAAAACCTATTCCCAAACCTGTGGGTTCAAGCTGAACTTATTATTGTAATGACAACATTATACTAAGTAAGCCAATGAAATAGGCCTGAGAAAATATGACTAAATATTTTTTTAAACTTAACAATGATTTAGTTCGATCAGTAAGACACTGTTTTAAAATATTGTCACACAGGGGCCTCCCTGGTGGTGCAAGGGGTTAAGATACAACCTATGAAACAATCCGCAGCCACTGCAGCACAAGTTCGATCTCCGGCCAGGGAGCTACCCACATGGGGCAGCAGACCTCTCCTGACACGCTTGCTGCTCCCCTCAGCAGTATATTTCAGTCAGTCTACCTGTTCTGTTCCCCACTCTGTCTCTGGTAAATCTCACCCGCACACCTCTGGCCTGTACCCCAGTTCTTGTATGCATAAATAAATAAATCTTAAAAAAATAAAATATTGTCACATTAAATATAGATAAATCAACCATAAAAGAGTAGAAAACTGGCAAAAAAAATTTTAGGATTCTGCTCTCAGATTAAAATTGTACTTGGCTTTAAAGAAAAAGTTGGAAATTATAAATCTCTTACTAAAAAACACAAAGCACCATCAACATACTAAAAAAAATGCATTTTTAAGATAAATACAATTTTAAGGGTATGTGTGTGTATGTGTGCATTTATGATAGAGGCAGAAAGATATTCCCTATTTTACCTGAGTGTTGAATGATGGAGCAGGCATGAATCTCATTCATTTCACACTTCAGAACGATTTCATTCTGAACAGGGCTTCAGAATGGAGTCCGTATATCCACATTCCTTGGCCTGCGGGTAATAAATGAAGTCAGAAACAGCAGCAACATGTTTCACTGACTTCCCTTTTAATGCAGGGCCCCAGCTCCCTGCAGAGTTCTCCCAGTATCTGAAGTGGTTCTGTCACAAAGGGTCCTATCTGGTATACAGGAAGTTCAGAGCTAAGTAGATATGCGTTACCCCCACTGCTACTGCTGCCGCCCCTCTCTATTGTTGTATTCACCAAGAACCAACAACTTTGCAAGAAATTACTGCCCTTTCTATTAGGCACATCACTTCTCTCTCCATGCTCCATCAATCCCTGTGATACTGAACTGTAAGATGCCAAAATTGCGTGGTGTATGTCTGTGAGATAGAGAGCAACAGCTGTGGAAAGCATTTTGGCATGGAGCAGAGTTGGGCTAGTTCTGCTGCAGCTATAAGATCTTGGGGAGATTAAACTGATATGAGAGTAACCTCATAGTGTGATTGTTGTGCCAGCTATTTTTTTAAAGATTTATTTATTATTTACACAAGTAAATAAATACACTGGGTACAGTCAGAAGCATGGGAAGGTTGAGAGGATTCACCCGAGACAGAGCGGGGAACAGAACAGGCAGACTGAAGAAACACACTGCTGAGGGGAGCAGCAAGCACGGCAGGAGACTTCTGCACGCCATGTGGGACCCTCGCCAGCCAGCCAGGGATCGAACTGGCGCTGCAGAGGCTACAGACAGCTTTGCAGCCCAGCGCTCAACCGCTGCGCCACTGGGGAGGCCCTGTGCCAGCTATTTTAAGTACATTGCATGTATGTTTCATTCAGTCCTTAAGGTAAAGTTGACATTATTCTTTCCACTTCACACTGAAGGACTTAGAAGCACAGCAAAGTTAAGGATCTGGCCCACAACCATACACAAGGTCAGTGGAGATGAGCTTCAACTTCAGGAGTCTTAATTTCAGAACTTAACTCTTATTACTCATGTTGAAAAGATGCTGGCTTGATACTTTTATACAACATTATCAGACCAGTCACGCTTTGATGGAGGGTGTGCATAGGATGCAAAATGAGTACCATAAAAGAGACCTCTAGATCAGACAGGGCAGGAGTCACAGGAGACTCCCTGAATGATGTGACACCTGAATTCAGTTTTGTATGATGAAGCATGTGAGTATAGCTAGATAAGGGGTGTGTGGATGAGAGAGGACGAGAGAGGGAGGGAGGGGAGGAGGGGGAAAGGGAGAGAGGAGAGGAGAAAAGGGAGGGGAGAGGAAGAAGGAGAAGAGAGGGGAAAGGAGGGAGAGAAAAGGGGGCAAGGCTCCAGCACGGAGGGTGGGATATGCTGTTAATCATTTGCTTTAGGACAAGCTTCCCCCGCTGCGGCATATTATATCCACCATAGAGATTCACAGGCTCTCCATATGGGGCTAGAGGGAATAAGACTATGGGCCATGGCTTTTGTACAACTTAGAATCTAGTGTTATAAGACATAACATAAAGAAGTGTTAAAAATAAGGCAGGCCCCAAAATGGAGTCACTTATGCTTTATCACCAAGCTGAGACTTGGTTTTGGCTCTCCCAGAAATGGAATCAAAGTAGTCAATCAGGAATCACCGTACCTGTCCTAGTTAGGTAATGTGGCTGATAGAGCACTGCTATCCACTAAAGAAAAGTAATTTTGCAATAACCAACTCACTCACTTGCCTAATATAACTTCCTTCTTCCCGCTCCCATCTGCCTATAAGTGTCTTTCAGTTTGTATGGTGCCTTGAAGTTCCTTTTTTATCTGCTAGATCCAATGCTGCCCAATATATGAATCATTGAATAAAATCTTCAAATTTTACTTTTGCTGACAGAAGTAAGCAAACATAAACAGGCTACATGAGATTTTGTAAGTGTTCTGAACAAGGTGATCCTGGGGGTGTATGTGAGACATGTTGGTGAGGAAGTGCTCTCTAAGGGTGATGTTTGAATTGAGACTGTAGGACAGGATGTGCCAATCATGCAACCAGACAGTTGCAAGCCAAAGGGGAAGACTTCTAAAATTAAGTCTGAGTGTCAGTGTTCTTGTCAGCATGGTGAGAGATGGACAGGGAGCCAGGCAGGGACAAAACACTATTTTTTTTTTTGTTTATAAAATTTTACATCATTGTTCCTTTTTTTTTTTTTAAAGCAATGTTTGCTTTCTTTTCTCAGGTGTAGTCCCCATAGAATTTCCACCACCAATTCACCCATGTTCTATCCCCATAGTCCCTTGTGTTCTTCCCGCCCTTGCTTTTGGACCAGACACTTTAGAGCTGATAGTTGGGAGTTATTTTTACTCTAAGGAAGATGCGAAAGCATTGTAAGTCTTTAAAGCAATGGACATAAATTGACTTGCCTTTCCATAGGTTCCCTTTACCACTGGTGGGACATGGGTGTCAAATTTGGGAGCGGGAGAGAGCAAAATGGCTCAGGGAAACTAGTCAGGGAGCTATCACCGTGGTCCCAGTCAAATGTAGGGGAGAAGCCAGAAACTAAAGAGAAATGTGTTGAAGATAGAGAGGAAGAAGGTAAAGAATGAGAGGTGAAGAAAAGACATCAAACCCAGGCCAGTCCAGAAATCCAGATGTAAATGAGAGCGGAGAAATAGGGTGGTCAAGTGGAAGGGGGCAAGAAAAATGTGTCTATTTGAGTATGCTTGTATGCTGCTAAGAATGTGGTGGTAGAGAAGAGACATGATGAAGAAAAGAGCAGTAAGGAGAAGGAAGTCTGTAAAAAAAGTACAAGAGTTGGCTTCTGAAAGAAGAGGTGGGAAGACAGAGGATAGGTATAGCTGCAGATTCATTTATAGAAATGTATAATGAAGTTTTAGAGAAATAATGAAAAATGATGAACATGGTTATCATTAAGTAGCAGCCCCCAAACTTACTTGAATACGAAATTCTTCATTCACAAAATCTTGTCAGTCAGTAGAGCACAATGGTACAGAGTGAAGTATGGAGCCAAACTAGATTAGTTCCTGGCTCCACTATGTGTTGGTTTTGGAGCCCTGAGCAAGCTAGTCAGTATCTCTGTGCCTCAGTTTGATCATGTAAGAACAGGACATAATAGTCCACAAAGTTGTTGTAAAATCGCTGAGTGCATGAAATTGTTGTAAAACTAATTTTAAAAACTCGATGAGTATCATAAAGTTGTCAAAACTCTATGAGCTCATATAGAGAACTTAGTGATAGGCATAAACTCTCAATGAATACTGTTATTAATTCAACACAGAATTCAGTGTTTTGTGGAACAACTTAGGGAGATTGCTAAGAGGTAATGAGTTGCTGTAGGATTTTGGGAGGGGCCGATGATAATCACCTGGGCTGCAACTTCTGCCCCTCTTCCATTTCCTCATCTCTTCTCCCTCTCTCTTAATAACAACCTGGAGCTTGGCCTACTTCATTCTTTTCTATATCCTGCTCCCTAAGAGGAGAGTTGCTGCCCTCAGGGGAGAGTTCATTATTTAGTTCTCTAAGGCACCTGACAGCAGGTGGAGGGGGCATATCAGAATCACCTTGGGAAGCATGTAAGAAAAGCATCCTCGCTCATGGTTCTAATTCTGTATCAAGTCATTTTGTCCCTCTAACCCCTTTTAAGAAAACAGACACACAGAGAGTTTAGGCCACATGCTATAGGTGATACAACTACACGATGTCAGAATTCTACTTTGGGTATCTGGTATCACAGCCCATACTTACATTACTACTATAATTTCATATTAGTGTATGCAGATTCCTTACACCACATTTTGAGGACAGTGAATACTACATTTCGGAGGATAGAAGCAGAAGACAGTCATTAACTACTAACCCAGTACTTACTGAATGCCTACTTCCCAGGCACTGTTAACTAGGAGTAAGATGTTCTTCCATCCAAGAGATTCTAGAGCGAAATATCAGTAGAAGATAGGCGCACAGGATGCCCTCATAGAGTAACTGTCAGAAGCATACACAGCTAATTGCCAACTTACATCATCTGTGGAGCAAAATGAGAAGTGAGTAACTGGATACGTGAAAGTAAAAGTGATTGCAGAGTTTTATCAGGGGAGGAATTATTTGAGCTGGGCTTTAAGCAATGAGGATTAAAAATAAGCAAATTAGGCACAACCAACCAAAGCATGTGCACAAAGATGCAAGTTACCTGACATGGAGGAAGCTCACTTCACATAGGCTAAAGGGCAGGAATATGTGAAAGAGCTAAAACACTGTGTTTTAACTGTTCTAATTTTCAAATAAAAGTTCAATATGACTTTGAGGCATTTCTCTCAAATGAGGAATTCTTCTTACCAACTGCATGAAAATGAGGAATTAGTGGTGATGGACATGATGTCTTGGGATCAGCTCTCAGATGTGAAACCACACACAATTCCCCCTTCCTCCAACATTTCTCCATAGCTTAAGTCCTTTGTATTCCCTTCTAGCTCACTTTTATTCCTCAATTAGGTCTATTTTGTTTCTATTTCTTTCTATATATTCTTGATCTTGTATACTGAGTTCTTCCCATACTGAATCTGTTAGTTTATTAAGTTTCTACCCCTTTCTTATTAATTTTATTTGAGTTGAGTTGCTTTTCTGAATTTTATCTTTTGACTTGCTTTTCTGAGTTCTATGGTTATCTCTGAGTTTCTTTGATTGCTATTTCAAATTCTTTATCCATTAGGAGGATATAATCTTACATGTCTTTGAGTTTGGTTTCTGGAAAGCTGTGATTCTCTATCGGTGATGGCTTATCACCTTGAGATTTTTACATTGCCTGGATTGTTTTTTCCCTATTGGGAATCTGATTAGTAAATTTAGAACTGACATGTTATTTTCCAGAAGGTGGTGCTATGGCTTTATTTTTCTGGTTACTACAGGCTGCCATAAAAGCTCAGGTCACTAACTGTTGCTATGTCAGCAGTGTGGGGCAAGTATATAGGGGACCAGCTGCTGTCATGAACTATGGGAGTAGGGAGCCTGGTTTGTGTGGATGGCACCACTGCTAACACTCTGTGGGAATCCCAGAGCTGACACTCAGCAATCTATCTGCTGCCAGTACCCTTTACTGCACTAGTACAAATCCTAAGGAGTGAAGAGGGACAATAGTCTACAGTTTCCTGTTGTCCTTCTTGCCTATGTAGAGCATCCCAGTGACTGCTTTGGGCATTACCTGGGCCTAGGGTGTGTGCCTCCACAAACCCCTATGCTCTTTTCACCCCAAGGTCCCTGGCTGGGTCACAGCACTGCCATCTCTGTGCACCCAAGCTGCCTCATCTGTTCATCTCTACCCACCTTCTATCACACTGCTATGTCAGTCTCAACTTTCCTCCTAATGCAGTCTGTGTTGTTCTCTGTGGTGCAGGAGATGCTTCAGCCTCACCAATTTGCTGTGGAATTCTCACTAATGTCCCACTTCTGGATAATTGTTCTCTTGGAAGTAAAGCAAGGAATGTCCTGCTACCACCTTGAATTAAAACAAAAGGGCACTTTTTCCATCCCACTGTACAAAAAGGACTCAAATCTCTCAAATGATTATCTTTGACTCTCCAGACACCAATCTCTATAACTCTAGGCTAACCAGACTTACTCTTAACCGCCTATACAAAGGTATGGTTGTATTATTCCCCTGACAAGCTCCTACCGCTTTTAAAATGAACATAACTCCTCCAAAATGCTTCAGTTATGGTTTTCACCTTTTCAGTCTTATTGCCCACTATATTCTCTCTTCATATACCCACACCCATCTCTCATACCTTGTCTATGCATGCATTTTTAAGCCTCTGGGCCTTTCCCTGAACCTGGAAATACCCTTCCTATATCGTTTCCAAATACGTATCCACTGTGAAACCCTCATTTTCTTTTAAAGATTTATTTATGCATACAAGAACTGGGGTACAGGCCAGAGGTGCAGGGGGTGAGAGGATTCACCAGAGTGGGGAGCAGAACAGGCAGATCTACTGAAACACACTGGAGCAGCAGGCGAGACAGGAGAGGTCATCCGTGCCATGTGGGCCACCTCCCTGGCTGGGGACCAAACTTGTGCCACAGTGGCTCCCTGCGCCTTAACCCCTTGCGCCACCAGGGAAGCACCCCCCCTTCATTTTCAATCAATTCCACCTACTTGTGTCCCTTCAAGGGTGAACCTTGTTCCTTAACACAATACTTACTTCAGTCAGCCTGACTAGAGTTTGAGTATCATTCATTTTGTCTCTCTCCTCATTCCCAGCTTTCAGCATAGGGTCTAAGACTCATTAATGCATTCACTAACTGAGGCATTTAAATGAAATATACTAGATGCCTAACATTTACAAAGCATATTTGGAGTATCTTTTAGTTTAAAAGTCCAAAGATATGACATATCAGCTGTAAAAGCTAAAAGTAATTTTTAAACCCCAAAGTACAAATCAATTTTCTCTTAGTCAATGGGTCTTTTAAGGAACATTATTTAATAAAGTTCCTAGATTAACAAGGATGAATTACTACTTATTTGGTGTCACCAGGCATATGGCTGGGTGGAAATTAACTCCATACTCTGATGACTGCTTTTCAGTCTCTCACTGGAGCTTCTCTAATGACTTGCCTAACAAAATGTTTCAAGTCAGCAACTTTGTCAGCTGGTGAAGCAAAGTGAGTCAGGTAAAAACAGTGCTCCATCCTGTCCTTTCCTCAGAGCAGAGAAGTGTAAGTACAGACATGTTGCAACAGCATGGATACAAGGGTTCACTGAGGAGATGAGCAAGACAAGAATCATACAGAATATGCTGGGTACATGGAACAAGCAACCTTGGTATCTACATAGCACCCTACCCCAAATGCAAAGAGAACATATGCATGGCATAAGTGTATGTCAAAGCTAAAATTACAGGTTTCAAAATAGATCCGTTAACAGTAGTTGTATTTGCCAAGTGGCCATCATGGCTGCTCTCTCTAGAGTTGTCAAGAACTAGGTTAAGGCATTGAAGCAATTTCCCTTTTAGATAGTTTCCCCAGTGACTTCAAACAGCAGAAAGACAAGACTTGATAAACGAGAAAACCAGGATATTTTAGGTTATTTACAATCTGCATAAAATCCAGATCTCAGAAAGCTGCCCAATACTATCCCTTTTGTCCCAATCTACAGGAAGTCTTAAAATTGTCACATAAAATTTTTTACCACAAATTTACAACTTGCTTTCAATGAAAAAACTCTTCATTTCATAATTTTCATACCACTTTTTTCTTTTTTATTTAAAATATTATAACCAATTAACATACTAGATAACATTGTTTACATTCCAGTGGTGCATGTTTAATGACTAGGGCATAAATGATTAAAAACCACAATAATTATCTCAGCATTCTCTACAAAGTGCCCCATTTTGTTTTGTCTACAGGAGAGGAAAGGGAATGGAACACAGGGAAGGGAGTGGAATGAAGGAATGGCATCATATAGGGAAAAAAGGAAATGTTCATTATTATACTTAAGTTTTCAGGTTTTAAAACCTATTAAACAGGATAATCTGTAATGAGAAAATAGATGTCACAGTCCAGGTAGACAGCTAGTTTAGTTTAACTTCATCATTCAGCTAAAAGATTAAGAGCTTCTCAAAAATATACCAAATATCGGGCCTACAAAAGTAATTTATTTCTTCTTAAAATTTACTAAGATTTACTCCTTTTGTAAAATGTAAAGAATGGACTGGTATCACGAGCAGGTTTCCACTTACAAAAACAGAGAGTAATAATGTCCAACGAGCACATCTAACACAACTTTCCAAGATACACAGTGAAAGAATTTACACGTGAGTCTCTCTTACTGATGCAAGGTATATTTTACATACTGGTATTGTGTTGACATTGGCTATAAAGTATTTAACACACATTTATAATTCACACTCAGTAAAGATCTAACAGCAAGGGCAACAGCTTACTTGGGAAAGCATAGAAAATTAGTGTGAGGTAGTTCAATAAAAACCTAGTTTAATTTGTAAATTGTGAGAATAGAACATTGTGCAAAACTAATCCACAGGTATTATTTCTCAAAAGTTTCAGTAATGAAGAGAATCTAAACCAGAAATGGCCAGAAGTATTACTCTTACTAGACTCTCCTTAAGAGCACTTAACTAAGAGCAGTTAGTTTGAAATTAGGACTTTTGTTTTCCTTATTAGTTTTCTAATCATACCCCAAACTATACATTTCTGCTTCAATGCCCTTTACCTCTTCATCTTTCTTGCTATTAAGGAAAAACTGGTTTCCTCTGAATCAGGAAAAACCTAAGAGAGATCAATAGAAACACAATGTATACTAAAATGTAAAGGATATGGAGCGGCAACATTTAAGAGGCCTGCTAATGACAAAATAGTGGTGATTGGTTTTTCTACTGTTAAGAATTTACTGGGGGTCATGGGGCTTCATGCAGTCACTCTACAGCTAATGTATGACTAATGAACGACACTCACAAACTACAACAGTATCTTGAAAACAGACTGTTTTTACCTCAAAATGTTGTGCAGGCTTGTGCCTAGGCAACACTGAGTAGTTATAAGTCTTCATATGTGCAGCACATACTGGCCGATAACATAAACCAAGTCTTATCTATAACCCCAAAAAAGCTTCACTTGCCTGCTGCTGATATCACTGTCAGACACTGACCTCTTCTTCACCTTCATCTTTTAAGACAACAAAGCAGGATTAGCATGGAAGAGAATAATGAAAAGGCTTCCAGGAAAGCTTGCTGCTTTATATATAACCAAACTTCTCTGTATTGCTAAAGGGGTTATGTGGCAGCCTTCTCATTTAAGAGGTTGGCATTTCTCTTAGGAAGTCTGGTGTGAATGCACTATGCTCTTACCAACTTGAAAGCGTGCATACCAGGGACAACTAGCAGCCAAGAGTGTGTGACAAAATGAGAACTGTTGGGCAAACAGTATGAAAGAGTTGAGAAGTTCTATCTATATATATATTGTAATTAAGCAATCCCAACAGCACAATCATTTTACCAATGGTCAGTATACATCAAAGGGTAACAACAGTAACCAGGAAGACATGCAGAAAAAAATTAGTGTTCCTTTCCTAATCTATAAAGTTGAATGATAAATCTTGGCCAAAATAATTTTCTGGTAGTAAGTTGGGAATATTAAATATATAAAGCTGAAAAACCAAAATGATAAGATAAGCAAGGTACCTTTACATAAATACTGCTTGACAGAAGTTTTATTTATAAGTTCTCTTAAAAATATCCCACATATATTTAAGATGTTTTAAAGGTTCAAAAAGCTTCTAAAATAAATAGAACTAGAACATCCTTAGCCCAACAGATTGAAAAGAAGAGGGAAAGCTGTATTTAGATATTTTAAAAACCTAAACACAACATTTAATAAACAGATTTTGTTTTCAGGATATAACTTAAGTATTTTAGTCTATATTAACTAATAAGAATCTGTTTTCTCTGCAACAACTTAAACATGCTGGTTGGCAAGTGGTAGCTGGCATTTTACAACAAACGACACAGTAAAATCATGTGGTTTTCCTTGCTTAACCAAAATCTGTATCAATAGAGATGGCTTTATCAGCAATCAAACGTAAAATATGGGAATCTTCTGTCAGCATGTCAGTTGTTAAAGTGCAATAGTGAAATAATCTATTTTAGAGAAAATACAGCTAACTGTCAAACTAACAGAACACACTCATGTTCAACTTTTTGCTGAAATCCTAAATCCAAACCGGTTTCTACAATTAAAAGGGTATCATACTCTCAAAACTCTACTTTGGCAAATAAAATTAATGCACCATGTTGTGATGAAAAGGTTAGAAGTTTTAAGAGGTTGGAAATCATAACTTTAAACCATCAAAAACAAAGTTGCTATTTCAAAACATATATAAAGGCTAATGTAGTTTAATCCTAAGTATTGCACATTAACAATGACCTAAATAAAATACCTTACTCAAAAGAATTTTTGCATTATATATATGAATAACATGCTAATAGAACTTTCACAGAATGCATGTTGAGCTGCCCCAGTTCTTGCTCCTGGTGGTCATTAATACCAATACGTTTTCTGCCTAGAACCTTGTCACTTATGCATTTCCCAGTCAGTTCATTACATGAAATCCTTCTTGTTCCAAACAAAATAAACAAAAACAAAAAAAAACAAGGGGCCTGGGGCATTACAGACAATCTATTTCTGAGATAATGAGACTTCAATGACATTTTACTTAAGAAAAATTCAGTTATAGAGAAATAATTCTGCAGATATAAAATGTAAACAGTTAACATACACTTGTCAGGAGCAGCACCATTCTTACACTACTCAACATCCAAATTGCATGTTTTATTGAAAATCAGGTATAAAAAAATGAAACACTAAGACAAAATAATCACCACTTAAGCCTGCTCTGCTCAATGTGAAGAAACAGTCCTTAGAAAATGATATCCTATATATGGCTGTGTGCTACTATTTTCAGATGAACGGTATATTGCTCATTTGATACATTACACCTACAGAAATCTAAGTAGGTTTTGGAACCTCCCAACAGTTAGTACAAATATAATTATGCTAAACAGGTAGAATCAAATGGCCAAAAACACCATGCGAACCGGTGCTTAACTGACTGATACTTTAATAGGAAACTGGAAAGATCCAAGGATCTAAGGCTGCAGGAAAGGGAAAGACCAGACTCTAGATCATTGCTGGGACTTACAGCCTGAGCAGATTAACTCAGTGTATACAAAAAAAGGCTCATAGCTAGTAGAAATGAACCATCTGTTTATTTGTATTGAAATGCATTATTCATGAAGTATCCTCTTGACTTTATGTGATCATAAGTTTCAAGCATGCCACAAATTTGCAGCAAACACCATATTCTTTTCACTTATGTTGGGGGGGCAGAGGGGAAGGAAGGTGGTGGCAGACACACAGTATCTTCAAAGACATATTCTAAATTATTCTGCCACTTAGACGATGGGGCTTTTTGCCAAAATTCATATAGGATAACCTACCAATTATAATAACTATGTTAAGATTGGCAAGTAGCAAATATTGGAGGTTTTCTTTTAACACGTTCATCATTTACAGTAGTTATTCCTGAATATGACTGGCTACAGGTTATATTCCCTCACTCCTCTGGGGTAAGTTCATTGATAAGCACATAACCCTGAAGGATAGCATCATGAACAAAACATTTGAAATAAATTCTAATAAAAAACTATAAAAATCTTAAATAATTCATGATATAGGCAAGTCACCACATAATAGTTGCTTTGATAAACAAAATCTTACAAAATCAGTAAAAAAAAATCAGCAGCATAAGATAAAGCAAATATGCAAAAATTTTAAACCATGATAAAATAATTAGGTTTACATTATACAGTTAATTACAGCAAAAATACAATACAGTTTTGTTGCTGTTTTAAAACACAACATAAGTTTTAAATTACATCACTTGAAATTAAAAAAAAATAAACTACTTTACTACAAAATGAATTCTACATTTTTGAAAAATCACTCAAAAATAAGACCACTGAATTGTTTTCAAAGTAGTTCTATCAATGACTAAACGATTCCCCATCCCTCCTACCTCCCCCACCCCCCAAGGCCCAAGTAGTCATCTACAGCAGCCCAGAGGTCCAGCTGATGCTTCTAGACTGCTGTCTGTATCCGAAGCCAAAGTCGGATCTGTTGACATTGAAGACACATCATTGACAGACGACGATGACGAAGGATGCTGAGAGCCACTGATCACTGCTGCACCTGTGCTATGAGAAACAAAACAGCAAATCAGTTGCAGAGAGAATTGCAGACCAAGTTACTTGTACTATACTACCTGGTAAATAATTTTTCTCTTAGGTTTAGAAAGCTTGCTGAAGATAAGTACAAGAGATATTCTACAGCAGAAAATTCTGAAAATGGCTGGAAACTTGGAGTCCTGGATTTTCTACTAATTTTTTTTCAGTTCAAGACAA